CAAGAAACAGTCAGCTGCTGGAAAACAGTCAGCAGATAGAACACAGTCAACAAGAAACAGTCAGCTGCTGGAAAACAATCAGCAGATAGAAAACATGCAGTAGTAGTTTTACATCAGTTCAATACTGAAACGTCTGAAATAATTATTCAATAACTGTGATTATTTTCTATAAACATTAAAATCATTTTATTTTATTTAAAAGCTAAAAGTATTTTGGCTAATATGACTAATTAGTATTGGTTTGCCCTAGTACAATTATAGATTGGTAAAAAAAAAAAAAAAAAAAAGATTGGCCGGTTTAACCTAAAGATTGAACACATAACTTCCAACCTGATTAAAACCAAAAACTGTGGAAAACTATTAAGCTTTAATAAAATGACAGATTTTTCTCTTCTAAGAGATTTTACACACAAAGAAACTTAAGATCATTAACAATTTCAAAGAAACTACATTTTGCAAACATCCCAGATTATATGACAAGCTGTAGTTCTGCACTCCACCAGTAGGTGGAGACATGTTCACAGGAAGCTTTGGGATCATTGAAGCAATTTGGCCAAATGGTTCAATGAGGCTCCATCTCACCAATTCTTACCAGTATGAATGACGTCACGTTTCCCATTCATGTGTATTGGGCTTTTACTTTACAATTCAATTCAGTTTATTTCTATAGCGCCAAATTCACAACACATTTCATCTCAAGGCACTTTACTGTTCAACCAGATCATACAGTCAGATTGATACAAAGTTTTCTTTTTACTTCTAGATATAAAAATAAACATTATTTATATAATAAAATATATTCTGACGAGTATGAACTCTAATTTCAGATCTCTATGATAGAGGTACTGTGACTCATAATGACTATTTCAGATATCAGTAATGAATAGAACATTCTAGATATCCAGAAATCCAATTATTGACAATCAGTTATGTAAAATTATATAGAAATATAATTACAGATATAAACTATTGATGACTAGTTAAAATAATTGAATAAATGGCTTTCCATAGTTTATGAGCAGGTTTATGGAGTTCTGCGTCAGAACCAGCCCACGTGACCTGTTCTGGGAAAACCCTGCCTACGTCACACCCTAAACCACCTGACTCGCAGGGAGCAGCTGCTGGTCACGCCCACTCCTGTATTAGCTCTCCAGGTTCGGTTCGGTTCGGTGCTGATTCTGCTGGAGCCTCCGGACCCTGAGCTGCTCCCAGACTCAGGTAGGACCCCTTCTCCTCCTCCTCCTCTGCTCCTCTAAGAGGAGGTGCTGTCCGGCTGTCTCCTTCCGCAAAGAGCAGAACTTTAATTTCTTCTGATCTTTAAAAGTTTCTGTTTCTTCAGGCGGAAAAAAAAGAGATTTAAAGTTAAATGTTTGGATTAATGTTGAATGACGCAGAGATTCAGGAGGAGCAGCTGGAATCGATTAGACTGCGTTAGGAGGTACGGAGAGCCGGAGGTACCAAACATCATCATCATCATCATCATCATCATCATCATGTTCTGAATATCTGCTGCGGCTTTTCTTGCTTTGAACTTTAGTTCTAAAGCTGAAAGTTTTAAAGGTTCCAGAACTTTATTTCTTTATTTCTCAAAGATGTCAAATTGGTTCTGCTGCAGGTTCGGTTCTGCTGGTTCTGCTGCAGGTTTGGTTCTGTTGGTTCTGCTGCAGGTTTGGTTTTGTTGGTTCTATTGGTTCTGCTGCAGGTTCGGTTCTGTTGGTTCTGCTTTCAGGGTCGTTTGGTCCAAACTTTTACACAAGAAGGTCCTAATTGTTTCAGGTCCAGATGACCTCCTGACCAGAACCTCAGGGAGCAGAACCGCTCCATCCTGAAGCAGCCATGGATCACCTAGAGAAAACCATCCAGCTTGGCTGCAGTTTTCTAGGACCTGGTTCTGACCCGGTTCTGACCCGGTTCTCTCAGCTTTAGGTTTGACGTTAGACCCAGTTGGGTCCTGCAGCAGTTTGTCATGAAAGCTTAAACGGAGCAGAACCGGTTGGACCAGCAGCTCCTCCATGTTTGTTCTCCAGCTGCGCTCTGATTGGCTGAAGGCTTTCAGAGGTTTATCAGCTCAACTTTATTTGTTTAATTTAGTGTCGATCAATAAAGAACGAGCTAAAGACTCTAAGAAAGAAAACATGAAAACAGAGAAACTTTGATCTCTTTCCTAAATG